GGCGGGCGCGGTCACCTCTTTGCGCGTCCAGCCGCGGAAGGCGTTGTTCAGGGCCTTGGCTCCGTGCACCAGGTAGGCAGCAGGGTGCCTGCGGTTCTCCCTGAGACCTGCAGGGGGCGACAGAGAGGGAGAGAGTCAACGTTACTTTCCTGTAAAAGACGTTCACCTTCTTCCTCTGCTTCAGCATTAGTCTGCCAGCTGCACGGCGGGCTATTTTTACCGGTGCGTCTCTGTATGCCCGTTACATGACCACGAGTCCACATCACACCGTGCACCAATGTGACAGCTGCTAAATCGCACGACCGCAGTGCCCCCAGCAGACGAGGGCACCTCCGCCTCTCTCACCTCTGAACGTGTCCAGGAGGTGCTTGCCCACGTACCAGCACACGGTCTCGAAGTTGGGGAACTTGAACAGATCGGCAGTGCTCAAGCGCTTCTCAATCTCATACGCCCTGGGAGGAGGAGAGAGCAGGAGGGAGGCCAGATTAAAAAGAGACGACAGACCATTCCGCGCTTCCAGATCTCACACGGACTTGGCTGATGCTTTTATCCAAGGCAACTCACGGTGGGATTGGACCCCACGATTTCCGAGCTGGGCCACACTGCTGCCCTCCAGATGACACAGGGTAGGATTCTGGCTGGACAGTGGCCATGGCCTAGCTCAGGGCTCCTTGATGAGCCTGTACAGAGGCAGGCACTAGGTACGGCAGAACCACCCTGCAGCTGAAGCAAGGTGTTCCCCTCATCCGTTAATCAACGATTCTTACTCTTTCGCCCCCACTGAGTCCACAGCACACTTCCTCGAACCCGGCAAGAGGCGGGAAGATACAGGGAGCCAGAGAGCCTCACCTGAGCTGCATGTCGATGTTCAGGCTGTGCAGGAAGTTCCCGCCGAACGCCAGGCAGTCCACTGGAGTCAGGACAGCGTGGATCCAACCTGAGAGAGAGAGAGATGGAGGGACAGGAGGGGAAAGAAGAAGAGAGGAATACGAAGAAGGAGAGAGACGGGAGAGAGGGGGGACAGAGAGACAGGAGAGAGGGGGGACAGAGAGACAGGAGAGAGGAGGATCGGGGAGACAGGAAGAGAGGAGGATCAGAGAGATGAAGGGAGAGAGCACAAGAGTTAGAAAATGGAGAGAAAAAAAGATTGAGCAGTAAGAGCGAGAGGGTGAGGGACAAAGAGGAAAAAACAAAAGAAAAGAAGAGAGAGATGAGCACAAAACCTGACCATTACAATTCCTCTTTAAAGTTAGTTACACTCTTCTTAACAAGTCAGTTAAAGTTACACTCTCGCCCCAGATCCACACCCTGCTGCTCAGGGCATTACCTGTGGGGATGAAGAGGGTGTTGCCCTGCTTC